TTTTTTCGGTTCAGTTTTAATCGGTTATTTAGTTTTCGATTAACGGTTTCGGTATCAATTCGGTTTATTTTTTGTTTCAATTTCGTCTATTTGTCGAATCGGTTCGGCATAAAACCGATATATTTGGACTTTCATTATATTTATTTGAGAAAATTAACAAATAACGACCGAAAATTAACTAACAAAAAATACGTCACAACCCAAAATTAATTAATAGAAAAACATGTCACATAGAGGAGCTCGAAAGACACACTAGGGTAAATATTTATACTATATATCAAAAAGACATTGTTTTGTATAAATCGGTTCGGTCCGAGAAATCGGTTCGGTAATTTTTTTTATTCTCCATACACAAACCGATATTTTTGGTTTTTCAAAAATAAAATAACCGTGTATGCGTTTTTAAGTCGGGATGGTATATATTGGCTCGATTTTTTTAGTTTTCGGTTCGTTTTTTCGATTTCTCGTTTTTTTTGCTCACCCCTAAAAATAGTAGTGCATGGATGACCGAATTTGATCATGAGTGGTCGAATAGGGGTAGCGAATTGCCGATATAGTCGAATAGGGGTAGCGAATTGTCGGATATGGTCGAATAGGGGTAGCGAATTGCCGGATTTGGATAAGAAAAAATAGGAAAATGTAAAGTAAAAGCAAAATAAATATAGGAAAAAATGCGATTAGATGGATAAAAGTTAGAATAATAGAACGAAACTTAAAAAATACATAAAAAACAGTATTTTTTAAAACATTAAAAATTAATAAAATAATAAAAAAAATAAAAAAAAAGCCAGTTAAATCGGCTCGATTTTATCAAACCATGACCCAAATGGTCGCCTGGTTCCATAGTCGGTCATGTTCTGAGAACATTGCTTATTGTTCGATTAAGAAGAAACATTAATTTGATGACCTTAATTGGCGCATTAGTATTCTATTATGCTCAATGTGACGTTGTTATATATATATATATATATATATATATATATATATATATATATATATATATATATATATATATATATATATATGGGTCCAAAAATAGTTTTTTCTAATTTTGTTTGAGCAATTGGTAACATGGCCTAAAATAGTTGTTGGAATGTATGACAGCTGAACTGACTTGACTTTCCAATATGGCTTTTTCAATTGGTGTTTTTTTTTTTTTTTTTTTTTTAAAATATTTCCATATTTTTTAGATCTAAAAATAAGTAAAGAAATAAATCAACATATGTGCCAAACAAAGTAATTGGCGGGATGTTAATTGAACATAGCTGATATAATATGCTATTTTTAGACAGATTCCTGTGAATTATTGGATTAGTATTTAAAGCTTCACGGATACAAATTATCTAAAGGTTGATAATGACTTGCCATTAAACAAATCTCTAATTTGATTTGTTATTGATTAAAATTATGATAAGAGAATATTAGATTGTTTGCCTAAGTTGATTTGAATGTGGACTTTAATTATCTGGTTGCACTGTAACACGTGAATTGATAACTATCCACTTGGTAAGTATTTGCATGTATGTGGTGTATTGACTATTGTTTCTAGACAAATTATTGGAATTTATTGCAATTAGTACCATGTTATTTTACTGGTGAAAAGGCCCTACGATAGATTTTTTTAGCAATAAGTACCTCTATTTAGGGGGTGTGTGCTAAAATAATTGAACCGTGAGGAGATTTTTACAAATAAAATAATATTAGACAGTCTTTTAGCAATTCGATATAATTACTTATACTTATTGCAATAAACCCCAAATTATTGATATGAATTGAATATGTAATAATATGTTTTTTTTTTTTTTTTGTATATTCTTATCCAAAAAAAAGATGGGCTAAAATAGAATGTTTGAAAATATACCATTAACAAGAATAAATTAACTATAACCTACTCTAATTTGTCCCAAAAAAGTATTTTACATTTACTTTGGAGCCACTAGCTAGGTGAAGGTGTATGTATATGTGTGCATATCAACTCAAGATCACACGCAATTTACACACTTTGGTGTGTGGCCTAGTGACCTTCTTATTTTTATTTTATTTTAATTAATTCAATTTTCGCCAAACTAATTTTGAGTGGAGATGGTTTGATCTTCTATAACTAATTTAAATTACACTATTTGAAGAATTAATATTTTTATTTATTTATAAAACTGTATATTTTTTAAGAAGCCGTATACTGGCTCCACCACTTAATTTATACTATATAAATTATAGTAATATACATGAAATATTTTAATTTATTTAAATTGACCTTATATAGTTTCGAACGGTTGTTTGGTATATGGTTTGAAATTAAGACACAGTTTTGCAGATGCCACAGTGGAAACAAAACCCAATTATTGAAACGACAAACTTTCATGTTTGCTACCCCATGACATTTGGAAACATGGACTGTCTTTAATTAATTAATAACACAAATTGGGGTGATTAGTGATGCTTATCTTTAATTAAACAACATAATTAAGTGCCTAATCATCATGCTTATCGCTGTCTATTAGTATTTTCTTTTTGGCCCTCCTTTTATTGGCTGGAAACATGCACGCACTTCCCTTTCACCGCTTTATCCCCCACATAATTTCACATTGTACCCTTGGATTTAAACATTTTTAATTAATTAATTAATTAATTAATTAACCTAAATTGATTAAACGTAAAAGTGTGCAATTCCTTTCACATGTGATAGTAACTCCTGGGTAGAAATTTTATTGTTTATTAATGTAGAACATAATTAAAGAAGTTAAGCCGTGTACATTTTAACAATGAAAACAACTACTATAACTTCAAAAAAAAATTAAAAAAATTAACAATTGGAAGAAAAATATTTTATTTTAAAAAAAAATATATACTTTTCGTCGTCTCACGAATCAATGTCAATGACGCATATCTTATGTGTTCAAAATATTTTATATATGCAACTATTTTCCAACTAAATAAAAAGCTCTAATTATGAACAATTGCATTAATCAATTATTTTATTTTATAATTCTAATTGTCCAATCTTATTTTGACTACGTAGATACAAATATTGTTGCGTAGTCATAACAACTTGCATTGTGATGGGGCCACTTCCAAATGCTCCTATCGACAAGCTCATAAAAATACACAAATCAAGTCCAAATTAATTAAAAGTTTGGCTAAGATCCAAACTGACATGCTCTAAATAATGAGGTATAAGTTTGCCCATGTTAAGTGACTTAGGTCCATAGGGAATATATGTGTTAGTATAAATACCCGAAGACCTTACAATCAAAGGTACGTAATTTATAACTCCCGACCAGTTTCTTGAATTTTACGAATTCTTCTATCATGCAAAGCTGACTTGAGCTAGCGTCGGAGGATTTTTGCCGGGACCACCCTAATAACTTTTTCTAGATGTAGTTAATATCCAGGCGAGAAATCAAGAAGTGCGAGGGAGGAATTGCAAAACGTGTTGTAGAATCGTACCCCGTTGCATTATATGATGAATTATGACCTTAATAAATCATATATTTCAAAACATCGAATATATGCAACTCATTATGCTATGTATATTGCCGTGGGACACACTAATTTAATTATTTATTGGCTAAAAGATAAAATTATGAATATCATATGAACCTAGAGACCCCATAAATACTTGACTAATTGGTCAAGTTGACATAATAATTTTGATTCAAAATTGAGTGCGTGATGCGCGTTGTTTTGTACATATACAATAAGCTAATTTGAGAATCTCTATCGATCATGTGAACAACTGTGTTGTAACTTAGGAAAAGGGTTAAAACGTAACATTTTCCTAGCCTTATAGTGTTGCATTCAACGCACACAATTGTTCATGGCATTTGATTATATGGACCGACCACTTATATCGTTAACCTTCTCTACATGAACAATTGCTGTCAAACTCAGGCTAACATTTTTTATTTCGAAATAAGGTACAAACATATATTTAAAAAAATACATGTATTCTAATCTATAGTCCAAATTAATTTCAAGAGTCACCGTCGATACTTAGATTGTATATCACTGTATATAACTTCAATTCAGATGTGGTCAAATTCGGTCTAAATTGTAACAATGTTTTTAATTATATTAGTAGATCTTATCATGTGGTGACACCAATCATGACGATTTCAAGACTTTTAGTTGAATTTTAGGCCAAACCCTCAATTAAAATAATAAGACTTGGAAAAAATTAAAAAAATAAAAAAATCAACCAATTATGGTCTTGATAATGTAATTAATCATATATTATTTGTGCAATCCACGGTTAGATTTTGCAAAAGAAAATATGTAGCCCTCAATATAGTTAGAATGATAACGACCACTCCATTAAATAAATATATATACATTATTAATATATTAAATATATTATTAATTTAATAGTGAAATATTAAATTCAACAGTGAAAAAAACGAACTAGCAGAAAGATTCTGAAATTGGGTTCTGCTGATGCATGGAAATTAAACCCCATCCTTCCCTTTCATTACGTCGTCGTCTCGTCCAACTGTGGTCCCCACAAAGATCTTCCATATCCCTTTGTAGACCCCACTCAGCACGTGCCCCCATCATCCCTCGCACGTGATTATCCCAACACTCACCCTCTATATAAATTCGTACTCTCTGTATCTAATTTTCAGACATTAAAAACATAACCCCATCTCTCTCCCCTTTGGCCTCTCTCTCTCTCACACAGTACCACACTTTTTCAGCGTTTATCAAACACATCTCCAAACACACATAATCACGCACTGACACACACAAAAATTACGTACACAAAGGAAAGAAAAAAAGAAAAAAAAAAAACAGAGAGAAGAATCGAAGGAATCTGTGCATGCTGTGTGAAAAAATCTTTAAAGTGCAATCTTCGGCTTAGGTTAGCGCCGCGGCTCCCCATATGCGCATTTTAGCTACCCTTCTCTCCATTTGTGTCTTTAACGTACACGGAATTTTTCTTCTTTCATTAACGTCTAACTACATATAATAGTTTCATCACGTATACATATAAATATATATAAAAATCATGGCCACCAAGTTTCTGCTGACGTTGGCAATCTGCCGGTTGATCGTGACCGTCGGATTAACACTGGACCCCACCGAGCTGCTAAGCCTCGAGATGGAAGGGCGGCTCAGCCTTGAGCCATCCGACGTGGGATCGGCTTCCCGTGACTTCGGCGGCATGCAGAGCTCCGAGCCGTTGGCGGTTCTCCACCCGGCTTCAGCCGAGGACGTGGCCCGTCTAGTGAAAGCCGCGTACGAGTCGGCTCAAGGGTTCGGCGTCTCGGCTAGGGGCCACGGTCACTCCATAAACGGGCAGGCCATGGCCGGAAACGGGCTGGTGATTCAAATGAGCGGCTCATCAGCGGGGGGGAGCCGTCGGCTCGGGCCACGTGTCTCGGAGGAGTTGATGCACGTGGACGTTTGGGGAGGGGAGCTGTGGATAGATGTGCTGAGGTCCACCTTAGAGTATGGACTCGCGCCTAAATCGTGGACTGATTACTTGTACCTTTCGGTTGGAGGTACAATCTCCAATGCAGGGATCAGCGGACAAGCTTTCAATCACGGCCCTCAAATCAGCAATGTTCTTGAGCTCGACGTAGTTACAGGCACGTATTAAATTTAATTTCTCTTTTCAATTTCATTATTTCCAAAATAAATAAAAAAATTAATTAATTAATTAAATAATTATTTAAACAGGGAAAGGCGAGCTGATGACGTGTTCAAAAGAACATAACTCAAAATTGTACCATGCTGTTCTTGGAGGGCTTGGACAATTTGGTATTATTACAAGAGCAAGAATTGCACTTGAAAAAACTCCAACAAGGGTAATTATAATAATAATAATAATAATAATAATGTTTTTTTTTGTGTTTTAAAATTTAAATAATATTAATATTAATATTGAGTTAATAGGTGTGGGGCTTTATTGTCTTTTAGCAAAAAAGTTAATTTTTGCCTAGTACACCAGCTAATGACATGACCTAAAAAGTAAGCAAAACAAACAAATTAAATGAAATTACGAAATTGGGTCCATTTGTTCAACCCATTGATTTAAACGGCTGGCTCAAAGCTAGCTGGCAGTGTTGTTGACGTTTCCCTTTTTACAACATACAAAAAATATTTAATTATATATTTATTTGCATAATTTCTAAATTTCAAAAAAAAAAAAATTGTTTTGTTTGTGCAGGTGAAGTGGATTAGGGTGTTGTACTCTGATTTCGCGACGTTTACGCAAGACCAGGAGTACCTCATATCGTTGCACGGGCAGAAGCGTAAATTCGACTACGTCGAAGGTTTTGTAATAGTCGACGAAGGGCTAATCAACAATTGGCGTTCCTCGTTTTTCTCGCCGCGTAATCCGGTCAAGATTTCTTCTCTTAATGCTGATGGTGGTGTTCTCTATTGCCTGGAAATTACCAAGAATTACCATGAATCCAATGCTGATACCATAGATCAGGTACACACACACACACATATATAAATTATTAAATAGTTTTGACTATTAATTTTTTTTGTGTGAAGTTGCATGGGAAATTAATTAAAGAGACCTTCCTGGAAATAAACTATACACATGCACACAAAATTAATATGACGTAGGTCTCTTTAGGCGGCTACAAACAATATTCCTGGTCGTTGAAATTAAATTAAACTCCAATTCTATGAAAATGACAGAATAATATTAATTGATAATTTAAAAAAATGTTGATAATTAAAATATTTAATTGATAGCAAATCTTAATAGTTAATACTGTGTATTGACAGCTTTATTTAGCGTCACTTTAATTAATATATAATTATTTATTAATTAATAAATAATAAAACATTCGCAGCATTTTCCTAGAAATTAGCGAGCAATTTTTTAATTAATTAATTAATTAATTAGTGCAAGAACATTTTTGCCATTTTAATTGATATATAGCAAAAGGAAGATCTTACAAAGATTACGTCCTCTTTTTCTTACAAATGAGAAGATTCCTTTTTCAAGATTCTGTAATCTTTGATAGATGCATCTTTAAAGGGAACACAAACTTTATTGTACTTTACTTAATACTATAGCATTAATTAAACATAACTTTAATTAATTATTGTCCTAAGAATAATTTAATTAATATAGGAGGTGGAGGCTTTAATGAATAAGCTGAATTATATACCAGCATCGGTATTCACAACAGATCTTCCATATGTGGATTTTCTGGACCGAGTTCACAAGGCTGAGTTGAAGCTCCGAGCCAAGAATCTGTGGGAAGTTCCACACCCATGGCTAAACCTATTTGTGCCTAAATCAAGAATTGCAGATTTCGATAAAGGAATTTTCAAGGGTATTCTTGGTAATAACACTAGTGGTCCTATTCTCATCTACCCCATGAATAAAAACAAGTAAGCCTTTTTTCTCCTTTTTTTTTTTTATTTTTTTTCGAATTAATATTTATATATATACTATTTTATTTGTATGCTTCTGTGTGTTGTCTATATTTGCATACGTACACAGCATGCATGCGTAATTTAGTATATTTATTTCTAGTGTTGTCATTACACACACAATGCAGACATACTTCCGTTTCAGTTGTTCACTGTCTTAGTCATTTTTTCTTGGATTTGTGTGTATATATATATATGTGTGTGTGTGTGTGTGTGTAATGGGTGCATGGACCACTATGCACCAATTATTGATATGGTTAAGGGATTTTGAATTTAATTTGAATTTTAAATCCAATAATTTTGTGTAGGTGGGATGAGAAGAGTTCGGCGGTGACACCAAACGAAGACGTGTTCTACCTAGTAGCGCTTCTTCGATCGGCATTGAACGACGGGAACGAGACACAAAGCCTAGAGTATTTGAGCAATCAAAATCGAAAGATTCTAAGATTCTGCAAAGAGGAAGGAATCGACGTTAAGCAATACCTTCCTCACTACACCACGGAGCAAGAGTGGAGGAATCACTTTGGGGAGAAATGGAATTTGTTTTCCTCGAGAAAAACGGAGTTCGACCCGAGGCGAATTTTAGCTACGGGACAACGTATTTTTACGCCCTCTCTTAATCCCACTAGGGGAGCTTCATGGTGATTGAAATAAATAAATGCATGTATATATAGATCACATATTATATTCATGTAAATATAGGCAAAATGCAAGAATATTTTTTTATTAGAAATATTAATGCAATAATTTTTAATAGGGTGTGGCAATCACTTAGTAGTAATAACTAATTATAGTGGCAAGTATTGGATTTTGCAAGGATTTTCTTAATGGATTTCCAGAATTTACATATAATATAAATGGGCTGCCATAATTGGGCTTTTCCTATGTTAGTTTATTTAGTGGGCCAGCTTTTCCTCTGTACATAAGTGGGCTTGATAAATCTTTACATATTTATGGCTTAATTCCACTTTGCACCCTTGAAATATACCATTTTGGCACTTTGCACCCTCGAAAATAATAATAGCACTTTGCACCCTCAAAACACAATAAATCATTCACAATGCACCCTCAATTGAATAATAAAGGCAATTTTATTTTTCATTGGTGTTTTTCTTTTTTGGGTACAAAATAATAAAAAAAAAAATTGTTGTTTTCTTGAACCTCAAACCTAATTTCGAGCGGACAAAGTGCGAAAAAATAAAAATTACACCGGATTATTTAAAAAAAACTACATTATCTTTCAAAAGAAAAATAAAAAAAAAATAATCTTTTATCACTAAATTATTCGATTGTGGATCTTTTATGTCACTGTTTGTAAAATATTAGGAGAAAATATTTGGAAGAAAAAATAATTTTCAGATAACTTGATAACGTAATAGCTGAATGATTTTTTTTCGTAAAATATTTTATTTTGATAAAACAATATATTTTTTAAATATGTTGATGGAATGTATTTTTATTTTTCAACTTTATAGTTTCAAAATGATTGATGAATAAAAAAAATATTTGACATTTGGCATCCTAAAAAAATATCACTACAAATATTAAATTTATATTTTTTAGCTTTAAAAAATCATTTGGGGTGCATTATGCATGATTTATTGTATTTCGAGGGTGCAAAGTGCTATTAATTTATTTTGAGGGTGCAAAGTGCCAAAATGATATATTTCAAGGGTGCAAAGTGGAATTAAGCCCATATTTATCGGTTTATTTGCGTTTCTACCTTAATTACATATTTATGTACTATTGCAAACAAAATTTTACTAATTCGGATTCGCAGTGTGTATTAATAGAATCGTTAAAATATTAAAGGCTCCATCTTAAAATTTTATTCAGTTCTTGTACACAACTCGGACGTATTTTTTCTTTACTCATCTCTTTTATCCGCACTTTCTTAAACTTTATTCAGAGTGACGGTTGTCGGTTGACCTCTCCCGAGATATTCACAACAAACATGTGTTGCTACAATAAAAACATGGCACAATAGTGCTCCACAAAATACTCTGACAAAGTCCGAATACTTTGATAAGTTTTTCTTGAATAAAAGTTTTGAAAGTTCTTCATTGGTTTGTTTGAGAATCAGCTCTCTACGAGGATTGGCACTTGTGACAAATCAATTCAAAAACAAAAATAAATATATATTTTTTTAGTAAGAAAATAAATATTTTTACATGGAATAAATATAAGCAAATTACGGTCACCCTTAAGGCTAAATTACAAAAAAAAAAAAAAAAAAAAAAACTCCTCTTATTTGGATAATGACAACTATCCCCCTCTTCTTAAATATTTTTATATAAAATTTATGTAATTCGGTTATTTACCGAACCAATTCGTATATTCATTTCGGTAAACGGTATGAAATGTTGGTGCACCGAAATTTCAGTTCGATTTTACCAATTTAACATTTAACATCCCTAAATTTACTTCTGGAGGGGTAATTTCGTAAGGTAATACATAGTTGAGAGGTGACTGTAATTACCGAAACAAAAGGGAAATTTTCGTAATTTGACCATAATTCATGGGTTGACCGTAATTTGCACTAAATATAAAATTAATTTTTAATTTTAATTAAACAATTAAATAAAAAAAATCGGAATAGTCAATCTTGTCAGACACGTGAGCAACAGAGTAGCGGTGTGGGTCCCGGTCAAGACTGGTCAATGTAAGAACCCCAGCCACATAGTATCATCATCTACGCCAACGCCCAGTGTGGACCAGATTAATTTGTGGCCGTTAGATTTGCTTCCCCTTTTGACCAAACATACAAAAATCACCTTCATCTTTATTTTCCGAACCTTCTTTATTTTGAATTTTTCTTTTTTATTTTATTCGAATATCAGAATAAAGTATAAACAATAATAGCCCATTTTTTCCCGAATTAACCCCACCACCAAAGTACCATCGCATCGTTGTTCTTTTCCCCCTTTGCCTCACTTTCTCTCTCTAAAATCAAAACCAAAAATTTCTCTCTCTAAACATTTTCATTCTCCCCTGCGCCATGACCTCCCCCTCCGCTTCCTCTCGCAAGGTACCTCTCTCCCTTTGATTGAATTCATATTCATCTGCAGTGATTTTTACACTTGTTCATAATTTTCGCTGATTTTAATTTTGAATTTTTAATTTTGAATTTTGTTATCTGAAATTGAAAATTGGGGGAGAAGGCTTTGAGCAAGATCGCTAGCAATCGGCTGCAGAAGGAGCTCATGGAGTGGCAAGTGAATCCCCCCGCCGGTTTCAAGCACAAAGTTACCGATAATCTTCAAAGGTTTTCTCTCTCTCTTCAGCTATTAAATTTTTAATTTCTGGTGTGGAATAATTTCGATTTCAGTAATTTTGTGGTTTGATTGAATTGCGGTGTCGATTAGATGGGTAATTGAAGTCAACGGTGCGCCTGGTACTCTGTACGTCGGTGAAACTTACCAGCTTCAGGTTGATTTCCCGGAGCATTACCCTATGGAGGCGCCTCAGGTAACTCCTTTCTACAGATTTTCACACCACTTCATTATGATTAATTTTTATTTTTATCTTTTTAATATAACAATGTCGGTGAAATCTGGAGTTTTAGGGTTTGACTGTAATTGATATTGTCTTTTCTATTTGTTTTGGGGCACAGGTTATATTTGTTCCTCCAGCTCCACACCATCCGCACATATATAGCAACGGCCATATTTGTTTAGGTGTGTTATCCCTCCCCGTACCGTAATTCGGTTGCTATTTTGTTGAATTCACGTTTTATTTATGATCCACTGATTCTGTTTTGTTGGTTTCATTTACTTGACTGTTTTCTGTCTTGGTCTTGCATTTAGTTTATATTTGGTTTCAGTAATTGGTGATTACATATGTTATGTATTATAACACTGCTCAATGTGGTTATATACTGATGCTCTTTGTTAAGTAAAACGACAAGCTCCTTAAAAAAAATGAATCAATCTATTGCTGCTTCCATTTCCTGGAAGGAGAGCAAGTAAATTTGAGAATGTGGAATAGTCAATAGATAGTTTGATGGCAAGCATGCGTTACTACAAATTCTTCCGTTCTTTGAGGCTTTTGGATTTTGATTAGATTTTAAGTGGTTTGATGTAGGAAAAGGTTTGTTCACATCAGCATTAGGCTTTTGTGTCTTGCTCATACTATGGTGTAATGGTACAAGAAAAGAATTTACTTTATTACTTGTCACTCCTCATTAAGACCAAGAAATGCCTTTTTGCATCATGTGCTTCTTGCTTATGCTTCCTGCATTTATTGGAATATTCTTTCTCACAAAAGGGGGAAATGCTGTGGTGAAATGATTTGTCCTGTCGTGTGCTTATATTCTGCAACTCATTGCAGCCAATTTTTTCAGGAACCCTTTTCCTTTTCTTTCATTTAAACTTTTTTTTGGTAACCTATCCAAGGTATTATATTTTATTTAGAATTGTGTGTATACCTTACGAGCATGTTTTGGAAAGAACGTGTACTTGCATTTCAATGATGCTGGTCTTGTGTTTAATAAGTTGTACTTCTGATTTCCACCCCCATATCCCCTCTCCGCAAGAGAAATGCCTGATTTATTTAAGTTGCAAATTGCACTTACGAAATCCTTCAAACTTGTTTAGATGAGTTGAATCAGTTTTAGAGTTACTATGGTGGATTTGATATCAATTTTATACAGAGAGTTGTTTGAAATCCTTGCCTTAATTCCTCATTGTTTTGGGTTCCGAAATTTCCATTCCTCCTACCTTTAGTTTGATTATCAGTGAAGATGATCCATTGGATATATACTTCATATCTTACTAATCTTTTTTTTTACTTCCATCCAGATATTTTATACGACTCGTGGTCACCAGCTATGACTGTGAGTTCTATTTGCATCAGCATTCTCTCTATGCTATCAAGCTCGACAGCAAAGGTTCGTCTCTAGATTTTCCAAATTCTCGTTTCTTGTCACATATTAATTTTTAAATTCCATCCTCCGAACCTCTTGATCTAATGAATATTTGATTTGCAGCAACGCCCAGCTGACAATGACCGCTATGTAAAGAACTGCAAGAACGGTAGATCCCCAAAGGAGACGAGATGGTGGTTCCACGACGACAAGGTTTAATAACTCCGAGATATTGAAAAAAAATCTGTAACACCATCTTACTTTAGAGCTGGATGGGTATTTTCGTCCCCGTAAAAGGCTAAAGGGGAGAGACCAAAAAAGAAATATTTGGAAAAAAAGAAAAAAAAATTCAGTATTTATTTTGACCCCTGTGTATGCTGATGAGAGAAGTTTGGCTTCAATGTTGATATGTTTAAACTGTAAACTGTAAGCACCTCTTTTTTTTCTTCTTTTTTTTTTTTTGTGCATGTTGAATCAAATTGTGAAAATAGTGGATCTTTTTGTGTACGTTTGATGTTGACATGGGATGAATGATGAATAAGTAGCATCTGTAGCTTCAATCAAACTGCAATCAATCGTTAATTTGTTCGGGTTTTTTGTTCGGTTTTTCAGGCAAGAATTTTGTTTTAAAATCTTTGCTCGTACACTTTATCTTTTTCCAATTAGATTTTTTGGCTACTCAATTAAGCAGATTTGTATATGTTCTGATTAAAATCTCAGAAACCCTCAATTGTTGGCTTTAAAATCCAATTTGAATCAATGAATTTGGAGTTTAAATGAGTGAGCTATGAGAGAAACAAAATATAGACTGTGATATATGAATTTTGATGATTGTACTCTTAGCAGTGATGTTTGTACCGTCAGCTATAAAAGGGAATTTACTTCACTTGTGGCAAACGAGGTGGACGAAACCCGCCATAAACAAACAATGTTGTTACGCCGCTGCCATTTAATTGCAGTACCATTCTCAACCCCTTCGCCACCACTTCCACGGCGGCGGTCGCCGCCGTGGCTCCGCCGCCCCTTCCCTCTACTTCCTTCCCGTCTCTCACAATCTCCTCACACCACCATTTCCGCCCTCTCCTTCACTTCCGGTAGCTGTCAAGCCTCCTCCGACGGTGAACTCAGTGAGAATTTCCCTTCGAAACAAGTAAACAACTTCATAATCAATCCTTTATTTCGATTTTATTTTTCATTCAGTTTTCAATTTTACGCAGATTCTATTTTTTGTTGGTATATGTTAATCAATTAAATATTCTAAATTTGAATTCCCCAATTTTTTCTGACCTAAATTACCAGATTGTAATCCCAATCATATACATTGTGTGTTTTAAGCAGCTCTGTGTCTATTTTTACAAATTTTCATCTTTTCCTATTCAAATTGTGTAGGGTCCTTTAAAACCCGGGCTATATCTTGTCGGAACGCCTATCGGGAATCTCGAGGACATAACTTTAAGGTTACAATCAGTTTTCGGTGAATTATAATTCTATTTTAGGTTCGAAATCGACCATTGAAGTTTTTTTCTCGGATTTCGTTTTTCGATTTTTAATTGTTGTAGAGCCCTTCGAGTTTTGAAATCCGCTGATGTCATACTTTCCGAAGATACTAGGCATTCGGGAAAGTTGCTTCAACACTATAATATCAAAACTCCACTTGTAAGCCAGTTTTTTCATTCAACGACTAGAATAAATAATATGTAAATGTGGATATATTTCTCGTTGAATGACTTAGGTTTTCAGTTAAGCTATCACAAGTTCAACGAATCGCAACGAGAGCAAGTTGTGCTCAATAGATTGCAAGATGGAGAAATCGTAGCACTGATAAGCGATGCTGGGATGCCAGGCATAAGTGATCCTGGTTCAGATCTCGTGAGTAAACATTTAAAACGTGAAAATTAGTTTAGGTAATGAAATCAATTAGGGTTTTTTATTATTTTATTATTAATAATCAATTTCGGAATTTGGATGTTTAGGCGAAAGTGTGTGTAGAAAAACATATACCCGTGATTCCTGTCCCCGGTCCATCTGCTTTAGTAGCTGCTCTCTCTGCGTCTGGTTTGCCGACAAATGAGTTCACATTTGGTAATAATCTTTTGATTAACTCGTGCACTTGTCTTAAAACTTTTTTTTCGATTATTTTTAAATGAGTTATATAATATTGTAATGCAGTTGGATTTCTCCCGAAACATGCTGCAACGAGAAGGGAGAGGCTGGTGGTTTCTGCGAATAACGCAACGACTCAGGTTTTCTTCGTTCCTCCTCATAAGCTATGCCAGTTTCTAGAAGAGGCGTCTTCGATTTTCGGACCGTCTAGGTAAATTTATGTCAGTGAATTTTGTTTTGTCCGATGATTTTGGCATGCATTATCCTAATATTTATGATTTTCATACACGTGCACATTTGCGAATTCAAATCGAATTAATTCTTGTTGTTTTATTAATTTCGACTATTTATGATCTACATCCTGATGTTTTCATTACATCATGTAGAAATGATTTTTTTTTTTTTTTGTTTGGTATAAATTAATTCTCTAATACCGGGGAATTTATGTCAGGCGTTGTGTCGTTGCTCGGGAGATAACCAAACTGTATGAAGAAGTAAGGTTTACATCTGTTAACTTCAATTATTTTTTTTTTTAATTTTTTATTTTTGAACTGGACCGATGAAAATAGAGAATTAGCTGTTGGAGGAAACCGAATAAATGTATTTGCTAAGTTAATATTAATCTTATGTAGAATTGTTTAATTATGATTTGTTAAAACTCGATATTGTAGATTTGAGTATTAAGTATAACGACTTTCACGACACGTGTATCGACTTCCATATGCATGTTTAGGTTAATCACTTTGAATATCTTTGTATGATTGTTTCCATGGGTATATAATGCATTCACATGCTGTTAAATCATTATTTCGAAAATTTCGGCACTTAACAAGATAAATTGTGTTCACATAGTTTTGGCGAGGTACTATCGTGGAAGCCATAGAAGCATTCTCAGTTCGTCAACCTAAGGGTGAGATCACACTTTTGATTGAAGGCGCAACGGTTGTTGAGGATGAAATTCTCTCCGATTCTCAATTGGAAAACGAGTTGGGCGAATTGATTTCCAAAGGGCATAGTCTCTCTATGGTAACTCTCTCTCTCTCTCTCTCTCTCTCTCTCTCTCTCTCTCTCTCTCACACACACACACACACACACACACACACACACACACACAATAGGCATAGAGTGTAGAGGTCATGATTTTCCCACCACCTAACGATAGGTTTATATCGAGGAATATCTTTTTTGCCGATTGTGCACATAATGCCTTGTGGCACGTAATGGAATTAAGTACTTTATTTGAACTTATATATTTTGACCAAATTGATTGGGAAATAATAGATTGTCTAAAATTGAAGTTACCAAATGAATTCTTTCTTGGATGTGCTGCTTGCCTTATAATTTACCCAATGAATTAGACGAGGAGGATGCTAATTTAATCATTTGCAGCTTGATAAAAAAAAGTTATCGCACACCGTTGTTTAATTTAATTTAATTTAATTTAATGCAGGCAGTGAAGTTGGTGGCATCAGGTACATCCATGAAAAGGAAAGCAATATATTCTGTGGCCCTCGAGAAATTCGGCAAACTCGCACAACAACATGATTCTGATGATAAATACTGATTTGTTTTTTTTTTTTTGGGTAACTCATGAAACAATGTTTATCACCACAACAAATCGAACTAGTCTTCAATCTTTCGTTTGCAGGAAATTGTTCGTAATTTCCGAACCGACTTCTTTGCCCGAGTGATAGCTGACCAGATTATTGATTTATGATTTAGGTAATAATTTGCCGTTAGTTTTAACAGAGACTGTATGTATAATTACTGATTTCTGTATGTATATACGCAATGGTGTTTGTGTACAAAAGAGGAAATAAAAGAATGAAGCAGAAATGTAGGTAATATCGTATTGTCTTCGAAAACGACAACGTTTGGCGCACAAAGATACCTTTGGTTAGCCGCCAACACTCAAACAATCCGCCAGAATAAAACAAATGTTTATATTTATGTATTTGCACTATAAAAAACTTCCTCAGTTTGTATCGTTGTAATAATAATAATAAATTAATAATAATAATAAATAAATAAATAAATAAATAAATAAATAAATAATAATTTAAGACGTCATTTTCTTTGGGAGTTGGCAAATATGGGTAAAATGTCAAAAGGGTATCACATTACAAGTAACAACCGTTTCTTATTTATCCTTACTTCACCTAATGCGTTACACTTTTAATTTCTCTTATTTTAATTTAATTTTAATTTAATTTTATTTTATTTTTCCTCTTACGTATTCCTTGTCTTAATTATTTGACATTTAGTATGGTTTAGGTCAAGATAATATATCTATATATCTAGTATCATCATCTATTATTATAATAATTATTATCATTTTATATAGATGATAGTAATTAATAAATAAAAATCATAACTAATAACAACTATTAAATATCTAAGACCAAGGGCACAGATGGAATTTACCCGTTTTTAAGTTCAAATTAATCGAGTATAAAATTGAATTTTGAGAACTGCTCAACCATAAACTATGTACATATTGTATAGATTAAGTAAATTCTTTTAAAAAATAAAATGAAATAAAATTTTATATCCAACCTGTAATACATATTTGTCACCTAACAAAAAGAACAACATATAACAAAGTGCCACGTATACAAATACACACAATGTTTCAAACCGACAATTGCCTAACTACAGTTATAACAACTACTATTATCAAATTAGAGCCATCTCTTTATAATTTTATTTAATGTAGGGGCTTAAAATTAAATAAATAAAAACCCAATCTTTATTAATTCCACCAACTGGTGGTTATGTTATCAAAACCCTAAGCTAACACACAACCAACAGCCTACTTCTACATACATACATACATACATAATACATACATACCTACATACCTACATACATACAAACAAACAACCATGGACCAACTACCCTTTTTGTCTTTTTTGACAAATTTTATTTTTTAAAATTTTTTTATATAAATTTTTATTTTCCTTGTTTTTCTAGAGAAGTTTGTAGGCAATTAATCTTGGCCTTATAACTTGTCTCCACGTGAGAAAGGTGGCGTACCTGAAAAAGAATATAATGTATTTTTTTATTCTGATTAAATAATTATTACATCACTTTTGAATAAATATTTTGTTTGGGTTGGTGTCATTGTTCAATGATAAGGAGGGTGGGTACCTTTGAGATCAGTTTTGTCTCCATTTGTTGTGGGAAGACTTTTGTTTCTCAGCCAATTCTCTCTCTCTCTCTCTCTCTCTCTCTCTCTCTCTCTCTCTCTCTCTCTCTCTCTCTCACACATATATTTTCTCTGCTAATTCCCAAATAGAGGGCACGCACTCAGTTGTACATAAAAAATATGTATGTTTTTTTTTTTTCCAGGTAACTTCTAGAATTCTTGATTTTCTTGTTTGGAACTTTTGATGATCACGAGGTTGTAAGAAGTAAATAAAGAAAGAGTCTTTTTTTTGTTGTCAGTAAAGAAAGATGTTGTTCTTCATGCTTGTTTCTGATTATGGGTCACTCATTGGTAATAATTTCATCTCAACTGTATATATATATATATATATATATATATATATATATATATATATATATATATATAATATATATATATATATATATATATTCATGGTGAATTGACTTTCTTGATTTCATCAAAAAAATAATTTTTTTTGATGATAATCAAAGAAAAAATGTGGGATTTAATTGAATTTGATGTTCATATCTTTTATTCCTCTTCTTGATATCTTTGTATATTGTTTCATTAAAATTTTTAATAACCCTATTAATAGTATATTATCAATAAATTATAACAGGAAAATATGTTTAAAATTGAGTGAAATAAATTTGTTGAATTACAAATATATTGTCTGATTTTATTATTTTTTTTTCTCAGAAGACAGCATATACTTGAATAAAATCCAAGCAAATCCCCTGTGATATGGTTCATCAATCATCACTAATGAAAAATTCATAAAGAGCTGCTCGAAAAAAGATGGCTTCGTTTTATTCGAATTCATCCGGTGAATCGTATATGCTAAACCAGACACTTGTTAATAACAATAAGGTATACGATTCTTCGATTTCGTTGTCCTATCCAAATTTACTGTCCGGTCATGAACTCGTCGAATCGGACGCACAAATGTACTCTAAAGAACCGTTTATTAATTCCGAACAAATTTCGCAATACCACGGACTATCTCTTACCTTGGGGTCCCACGAAGAGCCGTCGATGGTTCATCATCAGTTTCATTCCGATTTAAACCACTACGCAAACTCGTCGAGCCTCTGTTCGTTGCTAAATTCCGAAAACGCCCTCAAGAATGTTCAATACCTCTCTTTCGACTTGTCTGAAAAGACTCGTGATGCTAGTAGCTTCATCATGCCGTCTCAAAATTTTACGGGAACTTCTTGCAACTCCAAGTATCTTAAGGCGGCTCAAGATTTGCTCGATGAATTAGTGAGTGTGCATAAATGTACCAAGTTGTCGGAAAAAGTCCACAATTTCGATTCACTTATTAGTGGTCAAGCTCATGTGAAAAGGGATGACGGCGTTTGTGTCGATCTTTCCCCTTCCGAACGAAACGATATGCAGAATAAGCTCACGGCACTTTTCTCCATGTTAGATGAGGTAACATTTTTATTATCTGTAAGACAATTTAGGGGTGGAAATTGGACCCGTTTGTGATACAAATATTTTCGATTTTGGAACAACTTTTTTCATTCTAAATTCCGAAGGTTCCGATCTGCATTCGATTTCCAAAAATATTTCGGAAAATTTCAAATTATTTCCGAATATTACTCTTATAATATCAATATTATTATGTATTTTATATTATAGGTGACCGCCGATTCTGATTAAAAAAAATCAATTTTTTAAAAAGTCTTCCAATTCGAATTTTGATTTTTTGGAGCTGAAATTGGAACTAGTTTTTCACTTCGGAAAAAAAGGGAATTTTTACGAAAGTTCTGATTCCGATCCAATTTCCACCCCTAATATATACGATTACATTTGTCGAAAATCAAAATCACCGAGATAACAAGCGTAGCTTCACTTTGTTAAAAAAAAAAAAGTGGATCTTTAATTATATGTTCGCAATGCTTGAAGGGGCTTCTTTATTTTATTTTAGGTGGACAGAAGATATAAGCAATATTGGCATCAAATGCAAGTTATGTCATCCTCGTTCGATACGGTGGCAGGGAGCGGTGCCGCACTACCGTACACCGCGCTGGCGCTGCGGACGATTTCCCGCCAATTCCGTTGCCTCCGAGATGGAATCAAGAAGCAAATACAAGCAACTCAGAGGATCCTAGGTGGCGAGCACGACGGGAGTTCACACAGTCAAGGTGTACTATCTCGTTTACGCCACGTGGACCAACAACTCAGGCAGCAAAAGTCGATTTCGCAGTTTGGTGGAATGAGACAACCTTGGAGGCCTCAAAGGGGATTGCCCGAAAACGCTGTCTCTGTTCTTCGTGCTTGGCTTTTCGAACACTTTCTTCACCCGTATGCTTCTTTACTTTCCATAATATTCATTGCTTGTAGATATTTTTTTTGGTTCCGTATTATGTCTCACTTTCGTGCATTAATTACATTTTTTTCCAATTCTACCCTTATCGGCTCTCTTCAACATAATCGGTGGGAATTAGTGGACAAGGGTATTTTAGTCAAAAGTGATTTTCCCCCTAAAATCAAGCTACATTTATTGAATTATTTTATTTTATTTTTAATATATGTGCAAAAATCTTAAACAACATATATTATGGAACAAATGGAGCATATTTTTTTTATTTGCTAACGTTCATCGCTCAAACAGTTATCCAAAAGACTCGGAGAAAATCGTTCTTGCAAGGGAGACGGGATTGACCAGAAGCCAGGTAAATAAGGAAAAAATGTGGGAAATCTTACAGTCGTGACATTCAAAATACGATCTTTCACGATGGCATTATTCAACAATACATGATTTGATGAATTTCTTGAAATTGATCATGATCATTATATATTACCGATTTTATTTAAATCAGGTGGCGAACTGGTTTATCAATGCACGCGTGCGTCTTTGGAAACCTATGATCGAGGAAATGTACAAGGAGGAATTTGGCGATGCGGAAACCGAAGCAAGATCTTCACCGACAACTCAAGAGGTTCCTACTTTCGATGAATTAAGAGACGAAGAGTTTCGAGGAGGAAGCTTAATATCTGCAGCTGAAGATGAAAATGGCGTTTTCGTTAATTTTGGGCCGAGTCATATGGACAGCAGGCATATTGTTAATGTTGGAGATGGATTTTTTTCCGATAAAAATAATGCATCACCACCGAAGAATCAAGTGTCACTTGCACTCGGATTGCAGAATAGCGAAGAAGATTCTAAGCTTATATTCAATGGAATTCAACCGAAAGGAAACGAGGGCGATTCTTCTTCTTCTTCTGTTCCGCTCGATAAATTGGAATATTATTACGTGGATCCGGTGAATAATAATCAGAGCAGGTTCGGTAATAATACGCATTTGATGTCTGATTTTGTGGCTTGATAGTATATTCGAGAACAAGACTTTTTTTTTAAAGAAAAATATTACAGATATTTTGGTGGTAGAAATATAATTGGTTCAAATAATTTTGTATAGAAACAATAATAATAATAATAATAAATAAATAATAAAAATAAAAAAATAGTTCCATTGATCTCCAATTCAAATTTTGTTAGTTCATTATTAATCTCCAATTCAAATTTAGATTCTAATGCAAAATAAATTTGTAAAACTATTAAAAAAAAATTGAATTTTTGTAATAGCAGCTTGGATTCTCTCTCGATTTGCATAGCCGTTAATAGTCCTGCTTAAGTCTTTGGTTGTTCCGTTCGACCAGCCACTGTCCCCTATGTCTCTCCCTTTTGACTTTTAATTTAAAATAAACTACATCCTCAGCAATTGCAATAACTGACTGAAATCTATCTCTCTCTCTCCCTTTCAACTTTTAATTTGAAATAAACTACATCCTCAGCAATTGCAATACTTGACCGAAATTGCTTGTTCACAGTATGATTTTCTAAATTTGGAGGCATGTTTGTTTTTCAAACTATCCTCAGTCATATATTTATTCAATTCCATCTCTTTTAATGGACGGTGGTGATATTTTTTTTATTGAAGTACTTATGAGGGATCCAGAGCAATTCAAAAAAATCCTACAAATTATGTACCGTTTGAACATTTTTATTAAGTTTCTAGAATATTTCCTAAATTGTGCACAATTTTCATGGGTCAATCGCTTGGGCTAAACTTTGGGCTATTCATATTGGGTGAAAAGAAATTTGTTAGCCCAACAAAGCAAGCAAATTGTGGACCCAAAATTGTCACATCAATGTTATTTGCACGTGATTCATACAACTCTAATAAATTAATTTTTGTATATATATTATTTTATTGTTTCTATCTTTGTGAAGTTGAATTTGAACGGGTGAAAAGGTTTAGAAGTAATATACTTTATAAATTGCAGTACTGTTTAAATGTTACAATTTATGAAAATTCTTGGATTACTGAAATTGCAATATTTTTTTAGTACAATCATCTTCATTACTTACGCCCTAGCTAAGTAAACTCCAAACCAAGTTGTCCATTTATCCGGTATTTTGAAATTCGGATCGGATCGGCCGGTTGAATTGGTTAAACCGCAAACCATTGTCTCGTCCGATCCGATTTAATCGGTTGAACCATAATATCGGAACCGGAATCAAAATGGTTTCTTTTCCGCCCAAAATTGTGCTTTTTCTTAATAGTAAATAAACAAATAAAATGACATGTTATATTTTATTATAATTTCTATAATATTTGAAATGATTCGGTGCGATATGAGTGTCGTAAGTTGCGAGCGTAAAAGAAAAATAAGTTTGATTTACATTTTAATTGGAAATGACTAACGAGTGAGTATGTGTGAAAGAAAATAAAAGCTTTATTTAATATAAAAAATATGTATAAATAATTGTAAAATAAATAATGAAACCGGTCCAACCGTGACCCATTAACTTATCTGAGTCAATATCCAGTCCAATTTTCAAAGTATTGCATTTATCATCTTTATTACCTACGCCTAAGTTAATTTTTCTTTTAAGTAACAAATGGAAATCTACCTAATTATACACACCTAGCTTAGGCTACATTTGACCATAAATACAATGGTCAAAAAGATGCAAAAATGAAAAAATAAAAAAAGAAAAAAAATAATGATGACATACACAGTATCTAAACTAACCATCCCATCTCACCAAGAATCTTAACCACAAACCTCATTTAATTTCCTGCAAATAAATAAATAAATTAATTTATTTTGATCAATTCTCTGAATGCAGTGTCCTTTCACCATCTTCAATTGGATGATATAAACAAAAGCTAAGATGATGAAAACAAAAGCCTATACATATTCCCCCCATAGATACTTACAGATTTATTCACAATATATATATATATATCAGACGGTGCTCAAAACTGCCAGTGTACAAAAGCCAGTCTACTTTTTTTTTTTTTTTTTCTTTTTTCTCTCTCTCTTTGATCAGATGGCAGAAGTCCCATTTCAACACAAACAAAATTGTATATCATATACATTGTCTCTCTCTCTCTAGATATTTCTCTCTCTCTCTCTAGATCTCTCTCTCTCTCTCTGTGTCTGTGAATAGTAAGAGAGAGAAGTTGGATGGTGAAAGTGCTTTTTGAGTGCCCCAAAGAAATGTGACAGCAGGCAATTAAAGCTGAATGGTTGATAATTTTTTTTTACCTTGTTGTTTTGTAGTCAGGGAAGAAAGAAAACAGTAGAGAGAGAAAGTAGAGAGAGAGAAAGGGGGACCATTGTCATTTTTCAGCATAATAATTTTCACTTGGTTAATAGGTTTTGCTTCAGATTTGCAGAGGGTCTTTTAATGGGGCTTCTTTTATATATAGCTCTCTTCTTGCCTTAATTTCCTGACATTGTACATAGGGTACCCTAGGGTAGGGTACCCTACACTTCTGATGAGAAATTTTATAAAGGAGAGAATCTTTGCTTTCCCTTCCTTGAATGGAATTATTATCAATTCTATCATGGGTATGTTTGTCGTAACACTTGTAATAAAAACAATTAAATTAAATAAAAATAAATACATAAAAATGCTGTCTTTCTCAGCTAATTCTGCAACCCTTTTTTTCAATTATCTTTAATTATTATGGCCTTAAATTTACTTATAACTTGTAATAAAAATGCTGTCTTTGATTTCTGATAGAGCATGCAAGATTTATTACATCACCGAATCTTGATTGTGCAGTTCCTTAAGATGTTTTTTCTGCACATTTCAGAAATGAATTCTTACCTTTTTTGGGTTCTTTCTTGACTATCTTCCCCCATTGATTTCTGCTTCCCACACTCTTCTTCAAACCATGCATTATATTTATATATACATATATATATCTCATCTTCCCATGAAATAAAAATCCAATCTTTAAAACCCACAAAAAAAAAAAAAAAAAAAAAGGCATCCCACCACCACCATGGTTTCAGAAGATTCACCATCAAACTCAAACTCAAGCAATCTCCACCAATTCATCATCTCAAACTCCATAGCCAACCAGAACCACCACTTCGAGAACCACAGTTTCGACCCTGCTTCTTACAGTAACATAAACAACAACCCTAATTATTTCCCCAACTCTCTGCCTTTCATTTCAAGAACCACCACCGCCGCCGACCTCATCCACGGCGGCGGACACGTGTCACCGTCCGATGATTCCGACATGACCCACGAGAGACGTCTGATGGATCTTCTCGGCACATCCAACGGTCACCACCACCACCATAATCAGCAGCAGCAGCAGAGGCTTTCACTCTCTTTAGGCGGCTCCATTAATAATCCATGCAGACTGAACTCGGGCGGGTATCTCAACCCGGATCCGGATTACCAGTTCACGGGGCCCGCTTTCGCTGCCCCGCATTGCTCCACCTCCTCCTACCAAACCGAACCGTTTGCTGCTGTAGTTGGGAGCTCAAAGTACTTGAAATCAGTTCAGTCTCTTCTTCAAGAAATGGTTAGTGTCGACGACAACGAAATCGACGCAAGCAATCGGAGATTAGTCGAGAAACTATCGCGAAAAGGGTCTTACGGGCTTTCGTCGGATCTCAAAATGGAGTTGTCGAACACCGAATTCGTTACCAAAAAGCATGGAGTTTATATCTGCCTGTTAAAACTTCTTGCCCTTCTTGAAGAGGTTATACACAAAAAAAAACAATATTAAAGATCCCTTTTTTTTCATTAGTATTTTAGCATTTAATTAATTCTTGAAATGTATTTATTTATTTATTTATTTATATATATATATTTGCAGGTGGAGAGAAGATATGAGGAGTATTACCACCACATGGAGGATTTGGTGACGTCATTCGAGATAATCGCAGGTTTAGGAGCCGGAAAATCCTACACGGCGCTCGCTCTTCAGGCGATGTCGAAGCATTTTTGGACGTTGAGAAGCGCTATCGTGTCGCAAATTCGAGCGACGAAACAAAAGATCGAAAAGGACATGCCGAAAATCAGCTCAAGATTGGCTCAATTGAGCTTGCTTGATCAAGAATCTAGGTCAAATAGAGTGTCACTTCAGCAGATTGGGATCATGCATAGCTCGAGGCAAGCGTGGCGCCCGATCCGAGGCCTTCCGGAAACTTCCGTCACGATCCTCCGCGCTTGGCTTTTCGAGCATTTTTTGCATCCGTATGAAAAAAAAAATTATACTAATGTATTAGCAAAATTAAATTTGCATTTAATAATTAATAATTAATTATTTATTTATTTATTTGTTGCGTGTTTGTTCGATCATTTCAGTTATCCGAGTGACTCGGAGAAGTTGATGCTAGCTTCACAAACAGGCTTATCAAAGAACCAGGTACAGGGACAACATATATTGTCAAATTGTGACTTGGTTATAAAGTTACTTAATTTTATTGATTTTTTTTCAAATAGGTTTCGAATTGGTTTATAAATGCGAGGGTTCGATTATGGAAGCCGATGATCGAGGAAATGTATAAAGAGGAATTTGCCGAGTCTTCGACTGAGTCGGATCAGTTGTTGACAAGGGAAGGTGTGGGAGATTCTGCTGAGGATTTTGATTGATGCTGGAATTTTGACAACCTTAATTCAGCTCAATTTTTGATAATTGTGTTTTTTTTTTTTGGCTAAGGATTTTAAATCTCTAAGTATGATGATTCCAGGGCCTATTTGATTTTATTATAAACTCATCATAGGTTCTTTATTATATATATAAATATATATTTTTTTTCCTTCATTGGAAACATTAGAGCTTTATATAATTGTTTTTCATTTTAGGGTAAATTACAACCAACCCCTGAGGTATGGTCAAATTACGAAAAACCCCTCCTGTTTGGGTAATTACAACCACCCCTCAATTATAAATCTCCCATCCTTGCGGTTTCAAATTTAGTGGAATTTTCTTGATTATATAGAATATTATCGCTTTTGTATCCGTTTTATCCCACTCGAGCTCTACATTTTGAAGCAAGATGATCATAAGATGTGTTTTTTGGCTTGTATATATATATATATATATATATATATATATATATATATATATATATATATATATATATATATATATATATATATATATATATATATATATATGTGGTGCATCAGAAACTGTAGTTTTACACAAAACGAGTACAAAGTAGTGCACATTCTAAGGAATCTAGATTATTATGTTAAATTTGACACCATAAGAAGGAGATGTAAGAAGATTCATAGTTGAGGGTATATGTAATTATCCAAACAAGAGGGGGATTTCGTAATTTGACCATACATCAGGAGTTGGTTGTAATTAATTTACCCTTCATTTTATTATAAAATAGTTATAAAAATTTAATTTTAGTTTTGAGGCTCCATAAAAGCCCATTTAACTTGGGGCTTGCCCTGAATAATTGGGCTTGGATCGCAAACAAATGGTAACTCTTTCTTTGCCAAAAAATATTGCTATGCTAATTATTATTTCTAAATTTTATATTTTTATCATTTGTAACTGTTTTAACTTATACAACTTATAGCTCATAATATTCATTCTATTATTGCGTATGTATTGATCTGTAATCTCTGGAACTAGTGGATTGTAGTGTACTCATTCCTGGGACGTATGACTCTCGTTGAGTTCGAACCTCGTAAACTTGTTGTGTTCTTCATCTTCTTCGTTTTCCGTGTGCGTGTTTGTTGTGATTAATTAATTGCTTCATTACAAAAACATTTAATACATCCATAATCCAATCCCATTTCAACAATTAATTAAGGTAACAATAATAAAATGGAAAAATTAAATTACACAAACCAGCAAACGCAAACACCAAATCTAGTAAGTCTATAAAGAGTGATTAAAATTTAAAGTAGCATACAAACTACAAACACGTGGCTGACATATTATTCATGGAGCAGTTGAAACTAAAACAAGAAAAATTTGCTCCCAAAATTCAAACTCTCTAGCTAGTTGAAATGGTCACACAATAAATCCCTACTTAGCATATTTGCTTGTAATAAGAGGATTCAGTACACATAGTAGAGCAGTTGGTACTATCAATTTTAGAAATATAATATTTTCTATATAAATCCACCTTTGCTACAAACAAACTTCATCAATTCAAGAAATCAAATACATAAAAGAAAGTTGTAAAAATTTCATCAAGTAAATCATAAATGGCTTCTCTCAAAGTCCTTTGCAGCCTCGTTGCGGCGGTTCTCTTCTGTTGCTCTCTATCCGAAGCTTTTCCGGGTTCGGGCTACGGGTCGGGTTACGGCGGCCCGTATTCGGGCCACCTTGTACCCGAATACTACCGGTTTTCATGCCCACAAGCAAATGAGATCATAATGTCTGTACTGGAAAATGCTATTGCCAGAGATTCAAGAATGGCTGCTTCTTTGCTCAGGCTCCACTTTCATGATTGCTTTGTCCAGGTACATTCTTGAAAAAAAAATACTAGGGATTATTTTTTTTTAATGATGTAACAATTTTTTTTTTGTGACATTCTATATATGAATATATAGGGCTGCGACGCTTCGGTTTTGCTTGACGACAGTGCGAATATAGCGAGCGAGAAAAATTCAGGGCCGAACAAGAATTCGCTTAGGGGATTCGAAGTGATAGACGAGATCAAAGCGAAAATCGAACAAGTGTGCCCACACACTGTTTCTTGTTCAGACATTCTTGCTCTTGCTGCAAGAGATTCTATTGTCCTAGTAAGTTAGTTACATACATTATTAATTTAAATAAATAATTAATTAAAAATGGAATTAATTAACGATTTTTGCGCGCGCACACACACACATTCAGAGTGGTGGGCCCCATTGGGAAGTGCCATTAGGGAGAAGGGACTCAAAAACAGCAAGCCTAAGCAAATCAAACACTGATATTCCAGCTCCTAATTCCACAATTCAGACACTTATCAATCAATTCAGTAAACATGGTCTTGATGAACAAGATCTTGTTGCACTTTCTGGTAATTAATTTATAATTAATTAAATATTAATTAATTAATTAATTGGACCTTCTTGAATATTTATCCAGTCAGCAATTCGGAAAAAAATTGTTGCAATCTTTTTTTAATTGCGAAAAATGTCACGTTTGGAATTTTTAATAAAATTTTATTACATGTTATTATAATTGCAAAATTAGGGGGGCATACAATTGGAGTGGCAAGATGTGTGACATTCAGACAAAGATTGTACAACCAAAACGGCAACAACCAGCCCGACGTGACATTGGAGCGAAATTACTACAACGGCCTTAAAACCGTTTGCCCTAAAAGCGGGGGCGATAATAATATTTCGCCTCTGGATTTTTCATCTCCGGTGAAATTCGACAACAGGTACTTTAAGTTGATATTATGGGGCAAAGGGCTTCTTAATTCGGACGAGGTTTTGGCGACGGGGAGTGTGAGGAAGACGTTGGAGCTCGTTCGAAGCTACGCGGAAAACGAGGAGCTTTTCTTTCACCAATTTGCTAGTTCAATGGTGAAGATGGGGAATATTAGTCCTCTTGTTGGTTTGCAAGGGGAGATTAGGAAAAATTGTCGTAGGTTGAATTAAAAAAAAAAAAACAATTATGTTTGCTACATAATGTATGTGATTCTAGTATGTGTGTGTGTTTTTGTTCATGTTAAGTGAAATATGTAATAAGTGTGTGTTGGCATTTGAAAAGCTATTTATGTTAGTATTGTGTATTAATTAATTACTATTTTTATCTACTGAAAAATATGAAATAGTAATTAAAAAACTGAAATGCTAAATCCTACACGGAAATTACTAAATCATGCACATAATAAAATTTCTTTCTCTCTCTAAAATCCCAAACGTGTCTATCTTTTTCTCTCCCCAAACAAGTTCTTCTTTTCCCCTCACGCTTGTAAAAAAAAATCATACTTGTAAAAAAAAATCATAAAACTAGTACAATAATCCGAGAATCGAACTTGAAGAAAATCTTCTCTAATTTATTCTACAATCAAGGTTATCATTTTGTCTCAAATTTATTCTTCGAATTAAGAGGGTTTTTTTTTTGGGTGGAGGCACGCCAGATTGCAGCACCATAAGTTTTTTTTTTTTAATTGAATTCAATTACTTTATTTGTTATGGAAGGTGGTATATGGTGATAGAGAGAGAGCTCTGTCTGCTATGAGATTGACGTCCATGGCAGGCCAGCAGCGTGTGTGGGATTTTCTTTGGGGTGGGGGGTGGGCGGCTGGGTTAGAAGCAATAGATTTGTTTCTTTGTTTTTTTTTTTTTGTTTTTTTTTTTTGTTTTTTTTTTCTAATTCAATTCAATTTAATTATTTCTTAAATATTGTAATAAATATTTAATGTTAATAAAATTTTAACAAATTTTAATACTTTATAAATAGTGAATAAATGTTAAAAATATTTTCGAATTAAATAATAAAAAATTTAATAAATATTGAATGCATGTTTAATAAATATTTAATAATTAATAAATATTTAATAAATATTGAATAAATTTTAATAAATATTTAAACATTTCGGTAACTTCATAATGCTTCTGCGAGAGTTGTTTATGAGACTATATTTCGAAGTCAGAGGATGATTATGCTTCCCGTAAATTATAAAGAGTATCTATTTTACCATCTGCTTGTAGAACTCCCTTCAACTAGATTTACAATTACAGTTTTTTGTATCAGAACATATTGTACTTTCTATATCTCTATTCTTTCGTTTCACCTATTTTTTTCCCAAACCGATCATATGTAACGTATACCATATCACAAAAAGTATGACCTATACTTAGCTTAATATCATGGCTTTCAGCTGTGTCTCTCGCCCACTGTATTAGATCGTCTCTACAATTAAACAATTATACCCCTCGAAAATATTCCGAATAATGAACTTCCCCATTATCCTGAAAAATAAATAAATTATAACAAAAACAAATTTTAAAAAAAATAAAATAAAAAATAAAAAAAACGAATAGCATCTAAAGTAGAAGCGGACGCATGAAAGACGGCGCCCACATTGAACGCGAATACAGTGTATTGCACGCCCAACATGTGCGCGCTATCTGTTTCGTCTTCTAGATTGTCCGCCCTCTGCCTATGACGATTTTTTGGCAAAAAAATTAAAATCTTACATCCGATTGAAGTTAAAAGGTATTGAACTCATTAGTTGATGTAATTACGTAACAAAAAACGACTTTTGACGACTTTTTAGTATTTTGAAAATCCTAGAAAAAAGTTAGAGTAAAGTCGAGAAAATAGAGCGTAGAGAAAGAAATTTTTTTTTTGTAGAGATAAAATATTTTTTTATTAATATGTGGGATTTAGTAAATTTTAGTGTGGAAAATCATAAAAAAAAGTTAGAGAGAAGTTAGAGAAAATAGAGCCTAGAGAGAGAATATTTTTTTGTAGAGAGAGAATTTTTTTTATTTATGTGCGGGATTTAGTAACTTTTAGTGTGGGATTTAGCACCCCCCATTAAAAAAAGGGGTCTTAAGATATAAGTCCCTGGTGACAAACCGTATTAGAACTAAATGACAAATCTAATTAAAATTTGTTTCACATCCTTTATTAAATTTATTCCAAAAATGCCCCTCTACTCACAAATTCAACATTACAACAGATTATAAATATACTATGATGAACTATGGTATTATTTAACATTTTTAAATTTGCATCTACCATTTTTTTTTAATTTTTCGTAGAACACGTTTTTTTTTTTCTTTCTCTTTCATATTTTTCATTATATAAAAATCTATTTTTCCCCTTTTCTACATAAAATTAAAAATTATGGTTACTTTTTTCTTTTTTATTTTCATTTTTCGTATTTTTTCATTATATAAAATCTATTTTTTCCCCTTATTTTCAAAATAAATTGAAAATTATGATTTTTTAATTTTTTTTTTTTGCCGTAGACATCTAAAGAATTCTGTAGAAACCTTTAGTAATCCGTAGTAACCCATAGACATCTTGAAACCCTAACTCCTTCCAACCCTAGCCGTCAAACACCATAGACACCCATAGACACTCATAGACATCTGTAGACAACTAAATCGAAAAATATTATTTTTTTCCCAACAAACCCTAAATCCGATCCACCGCCACCACCACGCCACTACTCCCCCTCTCCACCCCCCACACCCAGACCCACCTTCACGATTCATCCATGTGGGTTGCAAGCAAACAACGAGCCTGCCATCACATAGCCTCCCGATGCAATCCCTATGCCGAGCGTCGTCATAGCCATCGTCGTCGCCTACCATAACCGCCGCCATCATACCGCTGCCATCTGCCATAACCACCATCAATTGAAAAGAAAAAAAGGAGGAAGGGAGGGGGGGACGTGTGTGAGAGAGAAGAGGAGAAGAGATCAGGAGAGAGAGAGAGAGAGAGAGAGAGAGAGAGAGAGAGAGAGAGAGAGAGAGAGAGAGAGAGAGAGAACCAGAACGTGATATGTTGAGCGGTTGAGCGGCGTGAGAAAGAGAGGGGAAGAGAGAGAAAGAAATAAGAAAAAGAAGAGACACCGTGACTTTTATTAGGTATTGTAAGGGTATTTTTAGGTTAAATAAAAATCAAAGGATGTGTATCAATTTTTATTTTAAAATAGGGATGTAGTTAAAATATTTTATTTGAGTTTGTTACTCATATCTAATTAAGTTTGGTTTGAGGGGTGTGAGGCATATTACCCCTTAAAAAAAATAGTTACTAAAGAAATGCTTATTTCCGTTATTAAATAAAAAATAGTTGATGATATATTTTATTTCACTTCAAAATTGTCCAATTCATGCAACCAAGTATTGAATTCAATTACCTGTTATAGCAGGTCATAGGACCAATTTTCTCAACTTTCACAACTTATAGGACTGAATTCTGAATTTATATACATTTATATGAATTTGATGTGGTCAATGATAAATATACGCAAAATGCATATTAAATTTTCTCTATAAACGAATTATCTATTCTACGAATATATATATGCTAATCGTAAATATTCGGCTGCATATGTCATATTTGTGTTACCTTCGTTCTTTTTACAACATTAAAAGAACAAAAGAAAAAAAACAGATCAACAAGTTTATGTTTAAATTAACATTTTATCCAATTTATATAAATTTTTTTACTGGTTTTTGTTGATGTTAATTGATGAGGACCTCTTAGCCAATTTGTAACTTATCATCCTTGCAATCTTGTAGAACCAGAATGCGCTCACAAGCATTAGCCCCAAAGCCATTGCCTGCCAAACAAATAATATAAATATATTGCATTTAGGGATGTAAGTTTTTGAGCGACTAATTTTACGAAAAATCCCCTGAAGTTGACATAAAGAAACGTCACGTCCGCAGGGCTAGAATAACATTTTTGCAAAATATTCACCGGGATAAAAAAAGATTCCGTGAAAAATCACGCCATAGATACATACATCGGGGGTTTTGATAATTACGGATAGATGGGGGTGTGTTTCGTAATTTAGCCAAAGTTAAGGGGGTTTTCGTAATTTATCCAATTCATAATAACAGAATTCATTGAATTAAGCAATTGATTTCAAATCTCAATCAACTTATTCCTAAATTCTAAATCCAGAAATTCAAATGCATCAGAAAAATTGAAAGTGATTAATTACCTTAATCAGAAGTGGATTATGAGCAGTTAGAGTGACGTAAGTGAGATAAGGACCACCAATCATCCTTGCAAATGTGAATATCACTGCAAAACCAATCTGCAATACCCAAACCAAACTTTAATAATAATTATTTTGGAATATAATAAAATAAAGTAAAAAATATATTTCATAAATAAAAAGAAATAATTACGTCAGCAGCTAAATTGAGGTCAGTGTCTTTGTGGCCAAGCTCTTTAAGAAGCTCCCTCAAGTGGAGTAATGGGCTTGACACTTCTGTAATCCACAAAGCAGCCACCATTTCTGAACCACACTGCAATTTTATATAATAATACGCGAAAATTACAATTTTCATCCCTCAAGTTTGTCGATTTCACATTTAGTCTACCGTGTTAAAAAATAGACATTTGGTCCCTAATGTTTCGAAATTCAACACTTTTAGTCATTTCTGAAACACACTGCAATTTTATATATTAATACAGAAAAATACAGTTTTCACCCCTCAAGTTTGCACCAATTCCACATTTGGTCCCTAATGTTTTAAAATTTTTAACACTTTTAGTCATTTCCGTCAATTTTCCGTTAAAACTAACGGAATCAAGCGTGTGCCCATCATTGTCTTAACTAACTGACTAACAATAAATTGACGAAAATGACCAAAAATGTTAATTTACTGAAACATGAAGGACCAAATGTGTTTTTTGTGAACATTGAGAGACGAAAAGTGTAATTTTCCCATATTAATATTATAGCTCAGTTTGTAGTAAAAAAATAACCAAAAAAAAGGAAAAGACGAAATTACCCTTTGGTAGGCGAGTCCAGAAAGAAGACCAACAATGCTGACTAGATGATGAACGGTGTTATCAAGCTTAATTTTCTTGTCGAAAAGGCAGCACACCAGATCATATACCAGATACCCCACGGATACAGCTAGGGTTTGCATCTGCTCAAATTACGTACAAATTTTGTATATTAGAGACTCAAATCTAAATACCTGAGAAAAATTGAAAATTGAAATTAAAAAAAAAATGGAAAAGAAATTGGGGAAAAAAATAAAAGACCTGTTTGGGAGAAGAATTAGAAGCGAAAGGGCAAACAGGGCAACTCCAATTTTGAACGGAGAGAGAAGCCAAAGTGACAGCTAAAACAGCATGAACAGTAGAAACAATGCGGTTGCAGAAATCGAAGGAGCGATTCGGAAACAGCTTCCTCAATACCAGAAACAACGTTGCCCATGATATTACGGCGTAACCAATCAACTTAACCACATAATCCTCCATTTATTATTGCTGTTAATTTACTGGAAATGTTTCTCTCTCTCTCTCTCTCTCTCTCTCTCTCTCTCTCTCTCTCTCTGCTTTGTTTTTTTTAATGAAAAATGGTTCAGATCGACAATGCCGAATGAGAGAAGAGAATAGAACTGAGTTAGTTAATTATTTTCGTAGTTAGTATTATTTTGGAGGGTATTGAATTTATAGGTGGGCCTGTTTGCCGATGAGTTAATAATTAAGACCCGAGACTAACCCCACCCGCCCACCCACCCGTACGCATACTCGCCATCGTAATAATCCACATTAAAAAAAAAAGTGTCAATTACGAATATTATTTAAGTAAGATTAAAATAAAAAAATAATTCGGGTCTACTACACCATTGAGTTACCATGATTTACATTTATCTATCAAATACTTGTCGGGCCAAGGGATGCGGGCTCTGGGGGCGAGTGATTTCGGCTTTTGGTACAAGTAAAATTAAAATAATTCATTAGTCCCTTTGCTATTGATAATTACAAATACCCGCTAAAACCAACAGCCAATATAAACCATAACGTTGACTTCACCATGAAGATTATAATAACTTTGACCGTGTAAACTAACGCATAACTTATTAATAGTAAAGTACAAAAAGTGATATGATATTGGCTAACAACCTGTATGGTGGGGGGGTTTAATTCCTACCTTTATAAAACCAAAATTGAAATTTAATTTTTAATTTGTTTGATCTAAGTTGTTAAATTCATGTTCACTACTAACCAATTGAAAAGACACGTCACAAGAAAAAAAAATCAACGGAGTTTTAGTGGGTGTGTGGGACCCATTAGAGGGTGTGTGGAGGGTGTGTGGGACCCACCACTTTTTTGAAATAAATTTGACCGTTTCTTCTGCAACCCACTTATGTGAGTTTGTGATTTAATGCCAACGAAGGGAGGTCGGCGAGTATTCTAGATTTAGTTGAACTAATTGAGCCCGAAATTAATGGTGGTGCATAATTTCTTTGGGTTTGTTTATTTATTTGACACTTGCAATTCTTTTCTAAAAAAAATCCTTGTCTTGTTTTTATTAGGGAAGTAAATTCTTTGATTTATTTTAATTTATCTAAAGCTAGGTAGTGTTTGAAGATTTTCATTTTATTACATAAGTAGGCATGTTAAGAAATTTTCATTTAGTATACATTTGAAGAACCCAATTCGAATTGCTTATGGATATGGCTCAAACATGGCTCAAAATCAATAATGATTCAACTTTTGTGGGCGGCGGCCAACCTTCTTCGAGCTGCATTATCAGAAACTCTAATGGTTCAATCGTTTTTGACTCAACAAGCTCTTACCTTTTGCAAGGACCCTACCATTGCTGAAGCCCGATCTTGTCATTCTTGATGCACGCAAATTCCTCAACGTTGTTCAAAGATGCAATCTTTGAATCAGATTGCTTGAATGCTATCCTTCTTATGAAAGCAAAGTCTCATTCCTATTTCCCTCTTTTCAAAATTATGGACAGTTTAGCTAAGATGGCATTTCTGGTTTATCTCTAGATCTGTTAATTTTGCGGCTCGCTTCCTTGCTAAATGGGCTTGTAATTCTTTTTGGATTGGCACTGTCCCGCGACGTTGTTCCCATCTCTTGCTTTTGTGATGGGGGAACGACGATTGTTGACTCTTGTGATTTGATTTTCGTTTAATGCATTTTCCCTAATTATCCAAAAAAAAAGAAAAAAAAAAAATCGAATTGCTTATTAAGGCTAACAATTTGGGTTTTTTGCAAAATCCACCCTTGTGTAATTTCGAATGGTCAAAAAAGTCCCTGTGTTAAAAAAATTAGCAAAATCCCCCATATGAAAATTAGTCAAAGCCAAAAAACCCCCTAACAGCCTATCATGTGCTGCACGCGCGAATTGCGCGACTGGGTGTTTATTTTTTACCCAAAATACCTAAATGCTCTTACAAATAAGTTTCAAAAATTATATATTCACCCCAAAAAAATTTAACCCAGAAAATTCAAAATTTTCAATTCAATCCTTAGCATGTTCAAAACATCCATCTTCCCAAATTGAATAAAAAATGTCCCTCCAACATCTAACTCATCGAAAAACATCAATCTCAATTTCTACCTCCGAAATGGTATCGTCGGGCTCACCCCCGACCAGAACCCGAATCTCTAAAACCACGTTGTTTCGAAGCTGGCAGGGAATGATTTGCAGAGCTATTCGAATTATGTAGGTAATTTGCAGAGCTTTGAGATGTGAATCTCCATTGGTAACTTGCAAGCTTTGAGATGCAATATCCGTCGGTAAATTGCAAAACTTTGAGATGCAGTGTGGGGGCGATTTCAATGGCTGGTGGACGATGGCGGTGACTGTGATAGAGAGGTGTCCGGGTTTGGGTGTTGGTGGGTAGGTGGGTGTGTTGGGGGCGGGGCGTGGTTTGACGGGAAGATGGGGAAGATGAACAGTGCTTCAATTTTAACATTTTTTATGGGTTGGGTATTTTTTTTAATTTTTAATTAAGGATATTTTGGTCATTTTATCCAAGTCAACGGCAACAAAATGAGATAAGGGGCAGTGTGCATTGTAAATGATAACATAGGGGTCTCTTGCTAATTATTTTAACACGAGGGCTTTTTCGGCCATTCGAGATTACACAGGGGGGTCTGTGCAGTTACCTCCTAACAATTTCTTAACTCTTCTGGGTATAAGTAATAAAAAATAATACTGGATCATATCTTATGGGCCAGCTCTCATTAATGCAATAAGGGGTATAAAACCGGGCCGGCCTGATTTCAGAACATTAAATAAACTCAAAGCTAAAAGCCTGAAACTGAGAAAACAAACCGGGCCGAGTTCTTCCAAAATAATCAGAGTTCCAACTTTCAATTAAACTCTGGCGGTTCAATACAAGTTTGAGCACGAGCTTTCCGACGAGTAAAAGTCGATCAAAATTTTAATTTCTCACAATTTTATTAGATAGAGTTTAGAAAACACATTAATATACAATTATAATTTCAGAAAAAAAAAAAAAAAAACAAATGACTGCAAAATTGAGCCAAGTCTCAAACTTATTTGCACAACTATTTATATTATTACCATCATGCGACGTTATGAATTCACTCTCGCAAGCGGTTGGAACAAGTGAGTTTGTGTCAATGACTCAAGTTCGAATTACATTGCCAACGGTCGCTAAGCCGAGTTTGTCAGACATGATTAACCTAGTGTGGTTTATGTTCCTTGTATGGTTTGCAAACTATTTTACGAGAGTGTCTGTAAACTTATTATCCAAACAGTAAAAATAACTTATAAATTTATTATCCAAACATTTCATTCTAATAAAAATAGGTAACAACTTGTCGGCTCTTAAAATAGCTTATCAGATCTAACATCTTATCATTACTTTAAAATAAGTTTAATAGAAGGGGTTAAATATCCTTAACTAAACCAATGTTAATCGATCTTTTATCTCTAGTTAAACATAATAGTTAACTACATAATCACAAGTCAATTGTCATAATACATCACCCCACTACAGTTAATTACCAATCAACAATCTGATGCAATGCTGTCCAAGTCCAATAAAACAAATGAGATTAAAGTTTAATTAATTAACACGTCTTCATCATATTAGCTTTGTAATACCAATGAAAAGAAGTTGCTAATCAAATGTTAATCCACCTTCAATATTCCTCTATTGTTAATTATTATGTTTCTTTTCTAAACACAGTTGTGTGATGTCACAGATTCAATCACATTGCACCAACTTGAAAGGATAAAGGATTATGAAAGTTGTTAAAAGTGATTTAATTATGCTAATTACAATGACGTCACTTATATAACAAATGACACAATTAGAATAATTCCGAACATTAATTACCAATTTACCACCACAACTTTTACATACACATTTTTTTTTTAAAATCTAATTTTTACATACATAGTTACAACATGCACAAAAGCAATCCCAACCACTTGCTCCCCACTAAACACGAAATTAAGAAAATAAAAAAAAAAAAAGAAAAAAAAGAAAAAAGAAAAGCACAATAGATCTTAATTCTGGGCAAGCAGCTTTACCTTAGTAATTAATATGCATGCCCACATGCTTTCATCACCTCATCCCATGGTCCATATAAAATTAAGTTCATTTAAAGAAGATAAAGAAAGATAGTACATGAATTAAACCTATTTTATTATTAACATGCAATTAAATTTAAAGAGTTAAACCAGCATTTTAATTTAAGATTATAGGGAGGATCAAGAAGTTGTTATAATCTGTTAGTCTTTGTTTTTTTCCGAAAAAGAAAATGACAACTGATGTCCGTTGAGTGTTTGTAAATTTACGATAATTTATTATCAAGTAAATTACAACCGCACTCTGAAGTAAGATTAATTTAAGAAAAAAAAAACTCTCATTTTCCATGATTACATCTACCATTCTACAATTTGTAGATTTATTTCATTAACATCCCTTTTGGAGCTGGATTTAATTTCTAAAAGATAAGGTATTTTTCGTAAATAGACAGTACTACAGGGAGGTGGTTGTAATTTACCCTTTATTATTAGGTATATTTTACTCAATATAGCATCTACATAAGTTTAAGTGTGTACCAACCAACCATCAATTGAGCACCTTGTGTTAAGAAATATTACAACACATATGCCTCTAAACATAATAAATATAAATTGGTGGGTACAAAATTAATAAAGAAATTTAACCATACTATGAATAGTTCCTAAAATTAGAGTATGTAAACCTCTTATAAATGTTTGACTATGAAGAAAAGTGGAATTAATGATATAGAATATTAGTTAAATAAGTTTTGTGAAAATTATAATATATGATGGTAGAAGTGTATTTATTTCACATTTATACATATATTTGGTGAATCTGCATAACATTCGATTCGATGTATTTCACGAGTTGTAACATCTACAAGACGAGATCAAATTGAACACAATTTCTTTTAATAATTAGATGAAGCCAACATGAATACAACTTACATCCAAAGGACAAAAAGACGACCAATCCAATTAAATATCACTATTTAAATAAAAATAATATATTATTTAATTAGTCCCTCCCTACCCCAGATACTCATTGATCTAAATTAATTAAAAATTACATCGCGACAACCACGAAATAGCCAAACAACAATTTGACCATTTTTTTTAATCCCCAATTAATCCCCAATTATGATTATTAATAATAATTAATAATAATCAATAATTAATAATCAAACATTTCAGCCGAGGCCATAATCGGGTGTTGGTTAATCCCACCAATATTGTTCCACGGGTTGTTGTTCAAGAACCCGTCGGCGAAACCCTGGTGCTGAAACTCCTCCGCCCCGAACACGCAGCTCCCGCCGCCGCCGCCGGCGGCGGCGATTTCGGCGGAGGAATTGATGTAGTTCAAGATTTCGTTGAGGGATTGTAGCCTGTGGGTGAGCTCCATCATCTGAGCCCTGAGGACCGAATTATCAGCCTCCACGTGGACGTAGTGCTGATTAGTGACGTTGACGCTGGTCAAAATCTGACCGTTCTCTCTCTTGAGCTGGTTAACCTGAGCCATCAGATCATCTAGATGCTTCTGCTTTCTCATCCTGGACCGGCGCGCGGATTCCCGGTTCGACAGCATTCGCTTCCTCTTGCGCTGATCCATCACGTTCTGCAAATCCCCGCCCTCCGAACCGGCCGAGTTTCCGCTCGAAGACGCCATTATTTTTTTTTATTCTTTTTTAATATATTTATTTCGATTTATGTATTATATATAAGAGAGATTTGTTTGCTCGGGAAATATTAATTATGAAAAAACGTAGAACCAGTAAAGAAAGACGACGGAGAAAGATTGAACGAGGTGCGTTCTTCGCCTGAGGGAAGAATTAATCATAAACCCGGACCTGATAATCTCACTGAGTACATAAAACATGAATCTTATAACACATCAATAACATAAATTTTGGCAGCATCAATTTATGTGTTTGTATTGCGTATACGGCGTGTCGATGTTTCAAAGAATTTTTTTCTTTCTTCTTTTGCCTCTGGGGTTTTTTTGGCAGAGTAACAGCCAGAAAATCCCTAAAGAAACAAACAGAACCTCGCCCAAGAAATTAATAAAAATTAAAAAAAGAAAATTAAACAGAACAACAGTATATAACTAATTAGAGAACCCAAAAAAAATTTATGGGGAGAGAGGAGAAGAGAAAAGGAAGAGGTTAGAGAAGAAGAGAAGGGCTTGATTTATAGAAGGAAAATGAGGCTATGAAGTGAGAGAAAATAATAAAATATAATTTTTTTTAATTAATTAATTGGAAAAAGAAAAGGAGAAAATGGTGGAAAAGTTGAGGGGGTGGGGAATCTCTCGTGAGGGGGGGTGGAGAGATTGATGAGGCATGTGGGGTGGAGAAATAATTCCAGAAACGTACTATACAGCTGTGTGGGAGGGAAGATACAGTGTCACAGTGGCATTTAAAAAATAAAATAAATATATATATATATATATATATATTTCGCTGAAATCGATGCATGAAAACTCAATTTCTGACAAAAGATACGATTTTTTTTTTTACCTTGATTTCACGGAATCTGGGGTTTTAGGTTTATAAAGGAAGTATTTGATTATGATTTGAGGTAAAAGGGGAATCTGATTTGTAATTTTATTACTAATTAAATACAGCATCATTTTGAAATTATTACAGTGTTGAAATCAATGTATATGGTCGTTTGTCCTTTTTTTTTTTTTTTTACCGTTGGAACAGAGGTTGGATTTATGAATCTATATTATTGGCGGAACTGAAATTTAATAAACCAATAGGAGTCTTGTATATGTATATTTTTTAATGGAATATGCTGAATTCTCTCTATGTAATTTAATTTATATAATAATTAGGGTTGGGGCGAGGTTGATTTTTATTTCAAGAGGTAATAAATATTTAATCGGCCCATTTGATGGGGTTGATTTTTTTTGAACAACCTATTTATAATGAGTGAGTTGCTGGTTTCTAATATTGTCCAAAGTCGGTTGACCGATAATTATCGATGAATCAACCTATGTCAATATTATAAAATTAAGGGTGTGGTTTTTCTAAGTGGTTATTGGAATTATCTGAACAGTTAGGATTTGAAATTAAATAAAAAAATCAACAAAGAAAAAAGTCTTATATAAAACTTCGACCGGAACTTGAGAATGTGCATGTCTGGAATTAGTTTGAATTTTAGAATTGTATGTTTTATTGAATTGTTATTAACTATTTTGAACTGAAAAATGATCGTGGCACTAGGCATACTGTGATTTTGCTTATAAGTGAGGTAGGCGACGAGTATTCCCATCAACCGACCCATTTCGAAACGAAAAATTCGATTGTCAACCATCAATCGAAACGCAAAGATTGAATCGACAATGGTTTCAACTTTGAGCAAAATTTCTTAGTCGGATGGTTTGTTTTTTAGACCGGTAATATAACCGACGCAATCCAGTCTCAATTCTAATAATAACAACCGGATCTTTTGTTGTTGTTTCAATAAAAAATCCTCATTTCTTCGTTTCACGAAAACACCCCTACATCTTTATTAGCTAAAATCACTATTAATTATCAAGTTGTTAAACGGAATGTCAATAGACATAAAGTACCCATTTATTTTCCTTGTATACTTGTAATAATAATTCTTGCAACTCATCTTTTGAAGTCAACATTGTTCTAAGGCATAATTAAAAGTCAATTTAAAGATAACCAAATAGTAAAAAGTTTGAAAATTATCACGAATTCTTATCCAGTCACCGGTTGAATATTAGGTAACTAAAATCAATTCTGGAATCAACAAAAAGAGCCATGAAATTCTATCAAATCAAATAGTAGTAGTGTAGGGTTTTGTAGATCTATACACGGTGAAATACATTGGGTGATCTTGAACTGTTATTCTACACGTAATAATGCACACACCTACATGTATGTGCGCTTAGTGAGTAGTTATTTATATAGATATATGATTAAAAATCACCCAATTTATTACAATATATATACGTACCATCTCACAGACCGTTAGGAATGACCGTGGAACGTGTACCTGTCCCATACTTGTTTCGGGTTTGATTTTATTAAACCCGCCCCGTCCCGTATGTATTTAATTGAAAATACTGCGGCCTTCTTTCACTAATTTTAAAAATGAAAACAACATTAAATTCAAAATACTAGAAGATTCCAGGTGGATGCGCCTGAATATAAGAGGACAGTCCAAAAAAGAAAAAAAAAATGATTAATTAATTAATTAAATATTAAATAATTAATTAGTGATAATAACCTTTGGAAGTTCCAAAGGAATACAAATTGTTTTTGTTAATCACATTCAACGCACCATCACTCTCAGATATTAATATCTTTTAATTTTTTTGGTTTAATTTTGTCGTGACGGCCTTTTGCTCTTTATCAGGCGCCACTTATTATAACATGCTTTAGCCTAATTCTGCTGTTTTATTTTGATAATCTTTTCTATTTATAATTAATAATTTAATCACATCTTGCATCAGTGCATGTAACAATTTCTCTGTATATACATACACTGATACACATATACTATGGGAAATACATTACTTAATACCTATAAAGATAGTGTAAATTTCGGTCACCCCTGATGTAAGGTTAAATTACGAAAAAACCCCCCTTATCTTTAGGTAATTACAACCACCCCTCGAGTATGAATATTCTTACATGTCCACCCTTATGATTCTACTTTGTAATCGTTTTGTGCAAAAATACAGTTTCTGATGCATCATAATCTGATATTTAGAAGCTAAGACCCACATCTTATGATCATATTGTTTCAAGATAAGGAGCTCGAATGGGGTCAACGGATACAAACTGAGGAATATTGACACATAATGGATGAATTTGTAAGAATATTCATAGTTGAGGGGTGATTGTAATTACCCAAACATGAGGGGTTTTTTCATAATTTAACTTTACCTCAGGGGGTTCGCCGTAATTTACCTATAAATTTATACATTTTATAACAATTAGGCAGCCTCGTCTGCATATTGTGACTTTAGTTATGTGACTGAAAATCTTAATGAAAGGCAAATGTGAAACTTGAGATGTAAAGTTGGATAATAAATAATAATAAATAGATTTAGAGTTCCACCCACCAAAAATAAAATAAAAAAACGTGGGAGGAACCATCGATTTATTTATTTTTAATTGAAACTTTAATTTGATCTCTTCTCCAATAGTTATTTCCATGCTTTTTTTCCCCTACTAATTTAAAAAATAAAAAAATGATTTTGTTTTCACTAAAATTATAATAAGGTTTGTTAAGAAACTCTTCGATAAAACATCTAAATAGTAAGGGACTGCATTGAAAACGTTTTAATTAGAGTTAAATAGTTCATTAATAGTCAATAATACATTAAGATTCATTAGATGCTCCATTTTTCATAGCCTCAAAAGTCAAAACCGCAAAATTAGTCAAAGACGTAATTAATTTAAAATTATACTAAATCTAAATAGACACTTAATTGATGCCCATCTTAAGGTAAGAATATTCTACTTTCTTAAACATAACTCATAGAATAAACCATAGAAACGTTTAATTATATTAAATTTCAGGTTGTGCATGGGTCAGTTTTATAATACAGTCGAACCGTTTCAACCATTTGTTACGACTGATAACGGATAGCTATTTCATTCATACCAATAGTTTATAGCGGTTGGTTGACCGATAATTACCCGGCCAACCGAATGTTATTATACTTAATTTTAGTTAATTACCCGACCGGTCCAATACCAACCCTAACTAAGTTGCTAGAATCAATATGCAACGAAAGAAATAATAATACATAAAAGTGAAATAATTAAATAACAATTCTGAGTTTTTCATCTATATATTCTAAAATTATTTTCAACGTAGAGATCAGTTTGGCTTGAGATTCATAGTACGAGAATCCAACTCACGATGGTGAAATAACGACTGGCAAGATCATGGCCTGTCCCAAACATGTCCTATAACACATCAAATTAAAAAATATCTATTTTATTAGGGGGTGCGATAATGCTATTTTACACATTTTTTATTATATTTTTATATAATTTATAGAAATTCGAGAAATGCTGGGGGCCATGGCCCCCCAGGCCTTAGATTGAGCCCACGAGAAGTTATGCTCTCTACCTTTAATTACTTAAAATCCTTCATAACTTAACGAGTACGCATTTTAATCACTTTCCGATACTCTTTCCAGAGTTTTAGTTTTCTATGATGATTTCACGAGTTGACTTGAGCGTAGGGGAGCTTTTATCGAGACCAAGTTCCAGTGTGTTACATGCTTGTTTGTGACACAAGTAGCGACGCACGTCCAATTTGAAGGAGTATCCATTCAAACTCGGATATTATTTGATTAAAGTGAATCAAGAAAGATCAAGTCTTGACGATGCCACGTTCAAATTTTAAAATATCAATAAATATCAATTTTCTTATACATATAGTCATATATATACACTCGCACACATTTGAATACGTAATCATCATCAGACTACTGTTACAAACATAAATATTAAATAATTCACCTCATTATCAACTTAAGTTATTTTAGTACAATATGTTGTTTCATATTAAATATTTATTTATATCTCCATATAGACTTAATAATAACCCATTAAAATTATATTAATATGTCTTATCCAATTACTAGGTTTCTTTATTACAAGATAAGAACAGAAGAGTAAAGAACAAATATAAAAAAAATTCTTGAATTAAAAGTTAAGTGACCCACCATTTTTGCAATTTGGTGAAAAGCTGATTTTAGTGCAATCAAATGACACAAATTTGTCGATCTTCACATGTTACATTTGCTGTGGCAAATCTCTCTTTGGTCAGGCTAGGAGGACCACCTCAGATTTCATTTTGGAGGGTTTGCAACTATGATTTTGGAAATAAATAAATCATTAGAGTTTATTAACGTGTTAAAAAGAACTCATAAGCTGTTAAGAAGAACTTAT